CTATGAAAGATGTGTTAGCTTTCTACAATATTTTTATTAATAAGGAAGGGGTGTTAGCTTTCTATATCACGTGCACAGTGACGTCAGAAATCACGTACCTATTGGTGTTGAGTCGATTAACTGTAGTACGGTGACATACACTATTTCAAACTATTTGATATGCTTCGATTTTCGTCTCGTGCCACACTCCATGTGAGTATAATTATTATTTAATTCCCCGTATCCCATTATCGTTATTAGGAGTGTCTTAATCTCTGTCTAATATTGTATGAATTCTGGTAATACATTTTGAAGTTTCAATGCAGTCAATCCAGTAATGGAAAAAAGCAATATGTGACTAGACTCAGCTTACCGTGTAATTAGTTGAATGCGAATAGTACTATTATTTCTTACATCAAACAACCATTTCAAAAGCCAAGTTCTTTGAAATTGATACTATGGCTTTAAGGTAGTTGAAAAGAATATATTCAACTACAGAGATGATAATTTGAAGGTTGGACGGGCATATTTGACGAAATGGATACCGGGGCTTCCTCTCGGTTAGCCAGATTTGTCGTTATCTTTCGTTAGTTTTAGAATTACAAAAGTCAGCCCTGGTGGTCGAACACTGATTCTTGTGATTTGTATCTTCTAGAATAATAGAGTTGTGTTTATTTCGGATAATTAAAAATTCGTTGGCTTTTTGTTTTGTTTTTTTCTTGAAAATGTGTTACACACCATATCTGTTACATACCAGGAGCGGTGAATAATATTAAACACAATGTTAGGAGTAAACGGGAATGAAGTAGGGAGTGGACACGTGTGTTGGGCAAGTGGGCAGAAGGGGAGAATTGTAGAATGTCTATATACTCCATTTATATTATAAACTCAACAAATAACGCAATTAGTTGTGCATAATGTTTGACGTAATAGTACAGAGCAGTAAGACAAAATATCATACGCCGTTAAATAAAACAATCTTGCATCAAACAGATGCTAAATTATGCGCGGATGATTTATTTTTAGTATATAACGATCAAAATGACAGGATAAAATACCGCAGTTATTATTCAGTCTGGCTTGCATGTATGATATACATTACATATCCCTTTCAAAATACAGTATATGTCGAGGTTTAGCGTCATGAGTGGCTAGTGTCCTGTTCTTTTCCTGTAAAAACAATGTCAAATATTGAAGCATCAAAGCGAATGAAAAGAAATGTGAAACCTTCATCTAGAATAAGACCAATACTCTACAGGATACGATATCATCTTCC